CTAGGCATTGTTGTCTATGTTTATATATAGAAATATATATTATATAGTGGCCCTAATACTTGCTAAATGTTAGTTATATTTATATATAGAAAAATATATATATAGTGGCCCTATCTGCAATTGTTGTTATATTTATATATAGAAATATATATATATAGTGGCCCTATCTGCAATTGTTTGTTATATTTCATATATATAGAAATATATATATAGTGGCCCTATCTGCAATTGTTTGTTATGTTTTATATATAGAAAATATATATATATAGTGGCCCTATCTGCAATGTTTGTTATATTATATATATATATATATATGTAGTGGCCCTATCTGCAATTGTTTATGTTTTATATATAGAGAAAAATATATAGTGGCCCTATCTGCAATTGTTTGTTATATTTTATATATAGAAATATATATATAGGGGCCCTGTGATGAACTAAACCTTGGACTTTACATTAGTAGTAAACATATTGAAAAAACTGGAAAATATTAATTATATTAGAAAAAATATCCATATTTATATATTGAAACTGATAACCTAATGTGAATAATCAGAACTCAAGTCGTAAAGCGAAAAAACTTTAGAATTACGAAGATGTATACTCATTGCCAAGAAACACACCGTATCATCAATTCTATTCCATTAAAGTAGCTCAAGAGTTGGCGGTTTGCGAAGTTGCCTAGCTGCGTTTCATCTAGTAGATCAGTTCAAAATTAGGGACAGCTAACGCAGATATCTCCTGTTCAGTTTTGTGCGAATTTCCGAAAAAATAAGCACACAAACTATTCTGAAAAACATGGTTGGGCTTTTAAGAACAAATTGAAATATAACAATTTATATATTTTCATAAATTTGAGTTAAATAAGATCTGAAAATTTGTTTAACATTGATAATATACATACCATTCGTAGCAGAATAGCACCCGAAATCTCTTCATAACCCTCTATTGTGGACAAAACGCTGAATACTAGGCACAAAAACACCATACAAAATCTGTGAAAGAACAGGCTTAATATAATGCTAGGAAGTATAACTGAGATAATTGCTATTTTAGAATAAATGGCTCTCTATATTTAAGGCATTATAATAAATGACACCAGAATGTATAAAATAGCAAAGTATTTTTGTGAATGTTATATACATCAGTATTATTCGTAATTTTGTGAGTTGTTATGTTCGTGATTCTGCCCACGCAACAGTATTTAGATTAAGGTAATTATGAAATGCAACTCTTTTATTTTTTTCCTCTCTCTCTCTCTGTTTAATTCATACTTTACAACTAGAGTAAAGCGTGTTCTTGAATATAAATTGAAACTTAATTACGAAATTGAACGTTTTTATAAAACTTCATTCAGTATGCACAAATTTAATGAAAAATGTTATTGATATTCAGTTTTAAAATGCATATTTATTAAAACATTCTGCTCTTTATACCGAAGTGGATAAAGAGACCGTGCGATAACTGTTTTCGATAATATTAGAACCTTAAAAAGACAAATATTTATACGTTGAAATTCATTAAAATTTAATAGAGGTCTGATTATTTTTCAAAAGGTTTAGAATATAGTAAACCATAAAAAAGTCATACTATAAAAGAACTGTGCACTTTATATCAAACTGAAGAAAAAAGCCGTAGTTGATTTTGGATCAAGCAATTGATTTATATTTTGTAACACGAAAGTCCTATTCTGAAGAGGGTGTGGCGTAATGGTTAGCTTTCCGTTCTGTGGATATGAAAGTTCATGATGAGCGTCCAGTTGCCGCAAAATTGCGACGGTCACGTCTTACTATTCGATTAGAGTTGCCCAAGAGTTGGCGGTGGGCGTGGTTGACTAGCTGTGTTTTCTCTAGTATATCACTTAAAATCAGGGACAGTTAATTAGATGGCCTGTATGTACTTTTGTGTACGTATGCGTGAGTCTAAGTATCATTTTCGCTAAGCGTTATTGTTTTAATTTGAGGTCCTGCCGGTTTCTGAAAATTAATGGTTTCCTGGGTCTAAGCACGCAAGTGGTATTCAGACGAAGTTGTGTTAGACTAAAATAACATACAGCTAAAGATGACACTGAAGCAATTTCTTAAGTGTTTCCTCAACTAGTTTTTGATGCAGTGATTAATTGTTCATACATGTTAGTAGTGTTTTTCTCTAAATTATCTTATACAAACAGTTTGTTTTAGCTTCTCAAAATACCTCATCACATAAAACTTGGAGAGAGTGTATGAAGAGCTTCCTTTCCTGGAGTTTTCACAATTTAGACATTGTTATCTTTGATGAGATTTTTTTTTCCTTTTTATTGAGTATTTAAAAGAAATATGTTAATATGTCACTAAGAATTTTATTCCTATGCTTGAAGGTTTTGATGATGTGTAGTTCCAAGAAATATAGATGACGAAAACAAAATATTAATGTTGGTTTAAAGCAGAGGTTTGAATTTAATGTTTAGGAAGTAAACAACAAGTTGTATTTAGAAATCTTGAAATTTGCTATCCTTATTGATCAAACTGTAATAATACTATTAGAATAGTTTTAATTAATATAAATAATGTCAAGGATATTTCATGAATCAGTTTCTAAAGATGTTCTTTATCACTGTTTATGTAATTTTGTTATTAGTTTTGAACTATTAAACGGAAAAAAGAAGAAAATAAAAACCAATGGGCTGAGTAATTCTCGGAGGTAAGTAATGATAGAGGTGATCTAATTTAGTATCTGCAAGTTTGTTTTTATTTAAGCCATTATTAGATCGCAGTGGTCCTGACATGAATTTCGAGTTTATTATTATGTTTTTATATTTGGTCGAACGTTCTTTGGCAATAAGTCTAGCCAGAGTTTTTTTATATTCTATTGATTATACCAGCGTTTCTCAACCAATGGGTTGTCAGAATGTGTGAAAGAGTCGCGATCAGACTTTGAAAATGCATACTTTGTTTGTTTATTTATTGATTTTTGCACAAAGCTACTCGAGAGCTATCTGCAATAGCTGTTCCTAATTTACAAATGATAGACTAGAAGGCAGAGAGAGAACATCACCCACGGTCAAATTTTGGACTACTCTTTACCAACGAAAAGTGGGATTGACAATCATATTATTAAGTCCCCAAGACTGAAAGGGCGGAAATGCTCGGTGGGCAGGTTAAAAGTCGAGTACCTCAATCATCAGGCCATGCCAGGTCCCTGGAAATAGATAAGAGCTTAGTCATTTATTTATTTGGCAAATTGTGGAAGCGTTATAATGTGACGATCAATTTTACTATTTGTTGGTAAAAAGATAGCCAAGAGTTGGTAGCGGGTGGTGTTGGCTGGCTGGCTGCCTTCCCTCCAGTCTATCACTGTTAAATTAGGGACGGCTAGCGCAGATAGTCCTTGGGTAGCTATGAGCGGAATTCAAAACAAACCAAACTTTGTACTGTGCATCTTAACAATAGCCTTGCAACGTAGTTTCCTCTGCAAAAAAACTCCATTGTAAGGCTGTCATATCCATAATACACTCCTCATCCTGCAGGATTTCCGTAATTCATCTTGTGTATGAGGAAGACAATTTTCAAGCGCCCTTTTCAACAGTTCGACCGCACACAAATTTATAGACACTGCGGCCGACGAATTGATTGGTACACTTTCGTTTGGAATAGTTCACTTTATTTTCAAGCTTGGAGGTATAGGGCGTTTAATTAACAGATATGTCGTAGACTCAGCATGTATACACCTGACCTCTGTCTCTTTTTTCCAGAAGGAGATCCTACTTTAGTGTGTTGCGTACTGTTGCCTGGGGCAGCTTTTGCCACTGATCTTTTTGTTCGTGGGATCTCACTTGCTATAAGACACTGCACTATGCTTAACACAGCTTGTGTACGACTTGTCGCAGATCTCTTTCTGGACGGTTCAAATACACAAATTCTAGACTCTAGATCTTAACACATATTTATAATCTTAGTGTATGAATATTTTGTGTCGAGATGGGCACAAAAACCTACGTCATGCTAATCAATGCCAAAATGTAGTTTTGGTAGATATCATTCCATCACAATTTTATACTGGCTGTGGCTGTCACGTGACTTGCTGACTCGTATATTAATAATCGTTTTAGCATAACGTACCGAACCCTCTGTATATATTATATTATCACACAAAAATTCAGAATGTAATGGATAGAATTCACTGTACTTCTTATAACAATGTAAACTACCGCATTTATGCTGAAATAATGCATTATAAAGCATATATGTATATGCTTAATATCTAGTTGTTCTTAAATGACTCTGCCCTTAGTGACCTACAACTTGAATGATATACGACCTTTATGATCATTTTAGCAAGTGTCTATTTTTTAGTTTGTCAGTGAAATCGAAATATTTTGATTTTTCAGCTTTAAAGTATGTTTAATGCAATTTTTAACAAAAATTTAAACAAAGAAATATTTTCTCATTCAATATGGTTAACTATATCCTCTCTTGGAGCATAAAAATTCAGTATTTTGCTAACACATATATGCGTATTATTGGTATTTGTATTTTCAACCTGGAAGGTACATTACACGGTAAATAGCAAGCTGAAATAGCCACCCCTAATTAAGGTTCAGCTATAGCCATTGTGACGGATTTATTATTAGATATTTATTTTACTATCGACGTTTGTTTAGATTAAAGTTATATTAAGAAACATACATAGCTT